AGACATGGGTGAGTATAGGACCCAGATGAGTCTTGGGATCCTGTGCCAGGATTGGGATTGGGACATACAAAAACTAGAAAGTAGAAAGTGAACAGGAGTTGAAATTTTTCCCTCACTTTTCCTCTACTTACCTTTCTGGGGCAAAGGGATTTCCCTCTCTAAGAAGCTCAAAACTGGTTTAAAAAGACAGCCTTGAAGGGAAACAGACTAAATTATCTATCAACAGGAAACTCATTAAATCCATGCCATGTCATGGATTATTACATGGCAGTATGAAAGACTAAGGAAACTTTCCACATATTGATCATTCTAAAATGCGTTGCATAATATATAAGATAGGAGGCATAATACACCACCATTTGTATAAGAAAAGAAATATATGTTTAGACCACTTACATTGAATATACTTATATGATGTCTTAAGGCTGCCATTATTTTTATTTTCTGTTTCTCATTTCTCTGTTTTCCCTTCCTTGTCTTCCTGTGGGTTGTTTAGGATTTAATTTTGACTTATTTGTACTATTTTGAAGTATTAGTTTGTATAGCTCTGTGAATTGAGTATTTGTGTGTGTGTGTGAGAAAGAGAGAGAGAGAGAGAGAGAGAGAGAGAGAGAGAGAGAGAGAAGCTTATCATAGTCTATTGGATCAATGTTTTTCACATTTGTACTTCCATTTAGGTCCCTTTATCTTTCTACTTCTAAATATTATTCTCTTGAGTATCAGGTGGTATTATAATTTTTGCACCAATCATCATGTATACTTAAGAAAACTCATGAAAAGGATAGTCTTTTGTATTTACCCATATTTCTGCATTGTTCTTTCTTCCTAATATAATGTAAGCTTATCATTTCCTTTCTTTCGAAGAATTTTAGTAAGCCATTCTGTAAGAATAGATCTGCTTGTGACAAATTCAGATTTCCTTTACCTGAGAATTTATTTATCCTTGATTCCCACAATATAGTTTCCCCAGACACTGAAGTTGTACTTGACAGTTCTTTTCTTTTAGAAAAAAAAAATCACCAGTGTCCTCTGTTGCTTCAGATAAAAAAATATGCTGTGATTCAAGTTGGTGTTACCCAATAGGTAATGTGTTGTTTCTCTCTGGATGCTTCTCAGATTTTTTTTTCTTTGTTTTTAGTTTTCAGAAGCTTAAATTATATTGGATTTGAAATGGATTTCTTTGGGTTTATCCTATTAGAATTCACTCAACTTCTTGAATCTGCAAGTTTATATCATTTGTCAAATTGTGGAAATTGTCAGCCACCAATTCTTTGAGTATTCTTTCAGTTCCACTCTGTTTCTCCTCTCCATTGAGGAAGTCAATTTTATAAATGTTGAATCTTTGTTATTGTCCTGCCAGTTCCTGAGACTATCTCCCATTTATTTTCTCTCTGTTTTCCAACTGGGTAAATTTTATTGGTCTTTCCTCAACCTCACTGATTCTGTCCTCTGTCATCTCCGTTCTACCATTGAGCTCACCCAGTTAGAGTTATTATTTCTGCTATTTCTTATATCTATAAATCCAGTTGGATCTTTTAAAAAATAACTTCTATTTGTTTAGCAAAATTTCCTATATTTTTACTTATTTTAAGATAATTTTCAATTGTTTATTGAATCTTTTTTATGATGATTGACTTGAAATACTTATTAGACAATTCCATTATCTGACTCAGGTCAGCATGGCAGTCAGATGATTGTTTTTCTCATTTGAGTTGTGATTTTCTTGGTTCTTTAGAATATGGATAATTTTGATTGCATCTGGATATTTTACATTATTTAGGAGACTCTGGGTTCTATTTAATTTGTTTATTTTAACAGGTAGTCACCCTGGTTGAGTTGAGTATATAGGACCTAGCCCACTTTTGTGGGTGTTTCCAAGGACAACCTAATTTTCAGAGCCTTTAGGTCCCACTGTGGTCTCTATTGTCTGTCTCCTGCCTCTGAGGCTGCCACAGCCCTTGTTGATAGTAGTTGAGGAGCCGAAAGGAATTTCACCTAGTTGGGTACTTTAAGGTGAAGGGAGACCCAGCCTGCAGGGACAAAAAGCACTTCCTGGGCTGGATTCCGGTTGCCATGGGTTCCCCCTTTCTAATGTTCTCTGTCAAGTGGGGTCTCTATGTGGGACTCTCAGGCTGGTGAGAAAGAAAAGTACTCTCCCTGGCCCATTATTGTTAGGGGGACCTTCAGGTGGCATTTCTTGCTGTATCTGCAAGGATTGTCTGGTGGTTTGGGCAGGACTGAATCCCTTCTGTTTCTAGATTGGATGTTGGGAAAAAGTGGACCTGGGTTACCTCCTGATGGGTGAGGATGGAGGAATCATAAGATGCTTTGCTGCTGTTGTCTCCCTTTGCTCCTGAGGTCCCTAACCAATCTGCCTCCCTCTTTCTGCCTTTCAGACATCCCTTTTGATTGTTTATTGTGTTATTTTCAAGGACTTTAGTTATGCTTAGCAGGGAAGGACAAGTCTATGCAGTCTTGCCTAGACTGGAAATTCTCCATTTATGCTCCTATGAGCATAAGATCTCTAAGGGTCCACAAGGAAGTGATAATACTCTCCCCCCCACCACCTCCAGGAAGTGACCTAGGGGATAAGAGGTAAATGGGAGACCTTTTTTGTGTGTACCTATATGTACGTTCTCATTTTAATCAAGTGAATATATTACCTATTCAAAAATAAAAATAAAATGTAAAAGAAACAGCCTCCTAACTCAACATTGTTTTCAAGAGGACAACTAAAAATTATATCAGAGGGCATGCAGCACATGGATTCAACAGTTGGTAACTGTATTAAATTTCATTGACTTTTAATTTCACTATGCTGTCACTACTTTGATCCAGATCTCTGAATATAAGAATAATATTCTCAGTGGATTTGCTGCTTGCTCATACATTTTGAATAACTTGCAGAATACAAATGTGTAATTTAGATAGAAGTAGATGCTTTCAGCAGCATACTAGTACCCTAATCAGCTGAAAAAATAATATTTGTATGACATTAAAACAAAATTAATAGGAAGACACTGGTTACATGAAAATACTTCTTTGTGTTGTAATTATTAAACTTGTAAACAAGTCAGCATAATTAATGCCTTAATTAGGATATGACCTGAAATTTTAGCTTCCAAAATTAATAAAGGCAATTAAAAGGCACATTTGTAAATTAAAATGAGTTTTAAGAATTACAAGGTAGTTGGACAAAACTTTTTTATCCTCATTTGGGGGACATTTTTGTAGATATTGAACCTACAATGCAATTGCTCTGATACCCATCCATAAGCCCTAGCACAATAGCACAGCCTGAATCCTTAAGAGTCAAATTTAGTGACCTTCAGACAAGAATGTGCCCCAATAGGGGCTGAGCATTCCCAGAACACTCCTTCTAGATAGTTCTAGGGAAAAATGAAACAGCAAAGACTTTTCTCTGAATCAGAAGACTGATATTTACAGACTTTACCACTTTCACAAAACTATTTAGGTACAAATAATAGTTTTCACTGCTATCATTTATTATTTAATACAAGCTTCTTGAAGGCATTTCAGATTGCATAGTTCACCATGTGGTGAAGCACAATACAAGGCCAAAGAATTTTCCATTAGTAGATAACAAAGGAAAATTTAATAAATATTAGTGGGCTGGTGATTTGGAAAAAAAAAAAAAACTTATTTAATAAGGACTCCTACCTTATTCCTTTATGCCAAAATAAACTCCAGATGGATCAAAACTGTAGTAAAATAGCAAAATCATAAATGTACTAGAATAAAATAGGAATAAATATTGTAATTGAGAGAGGCTTTTTTAACCGTGACAGGGAAAACAAAAACCATAAAGGAAATGACTAACAAATTTGACTATTCAAAAATATTTAAAATTCCATAACATTAAAAAAATCTAATTTTAAAATTTAAAAAAATTAAAATTAAAATTTTAAAATTAAAAATTCAATTTAAGACCAAATCAAAAAGTAACTTCCTATAAAGGTCTACTTTATTTCCAAATAAAGAAATAATTGGAAACATGCATTATGATTGGTGCAAAAGGATATAAAATAAATTAAAATAACTTACAGCTTCAATAATAGCTCATAAAATGATTATATGAACTGGAGAATAACTATAGGCTGCAGGAGAAAAGGGTGAAGGAAAGAAAGAGAAACTGTGGGGCTGAAATAGGGCAAATTATATTCCGTGCATGTATGATCATGTCAAAATGAACCCCATTATTATGTATAACCGTACTGCACTAATACAACTTTAACAATCATAATATGTAATGACTTCATGATATTTTCAATGAAGGACCTATAAAAAGATAGTTGGAAAATATAGATGAATTCAATTTAATTTTTAAGCATCCTATCTCGACAGAAAAAAAGACAAATAAAAAATATTAATAATTATTATTTCTATGATAGAATTATGAATAAATGTCACTGTTTTCATTTTTGGTAATTTGCAAATTTTTTACAATAAGCAAATTGATTTTGTACTCATTTTTTTTTTATTCCTTGGAGCTTTAAATGAAAGGATATTTCTATTTTCCTAAAAGTAGCTAACACAGAATTAGATTAGATATGAAAAATCAAAACTGAGGTCTTGAATAGTATAGCTTATAATATAGCAATTTTAACAAACTCCCTTTTATTAAAAAAGAAAGAAAGCCCTCCACTAGCCCGTTCAGCAATGCTATATCACATGGGTTAATTGCAGCTATTGGTTGTAGTTGGTCCTCCTCTTTCTCTCTCTTTCTCTCAGATGTAGGATGAGAATTCTGGCTGCCCTTTCCTAAGGCCTAGTATCATACCAGATAATTCAATTCTTCCTTGAAATCATTGTCATGCCTGTCTATTCCTGTCTATGTTGCAGAGCAGGCATCATGGGGTCCAAAATTCAGATTACCTGGTCTTGGCAAGAAGCTTATGTCTTAATTGGAGCCACTTGCTAGTCACAAAATTGCTATCACTAGTGGCACAGGAAATGTCACCATTGAACTTCCTCTGTACCTGTAGGTTTTCTTAATTTCTTCATTTGATGCTCCCTTAGGCAAACCAAGAATTTCATATAGAGCTTCTCCAGTTGTCGACAAAGTCCGCTGTCTTTGGTTAGGTATGTTACATGCCATATTCTCAAGCTGCAAAACCAGAGGGAAAAAATAGTCATGAAGGTCATGCACACTGGATTTCTCTCTCTGAAAGGGAAGACAGTTCATTCTTAACCTTTTGTGAAATGACAATCTGAAGTATGTTTGTGTGCTACCTGCAAAAGGAGGGGAGAAAAGTGTTAAGAGAGCCAAAAAAAAAAAAAAAAAAAAGTCAGGGGTCAAAGGATACAGACAGCCACACAAATAACATACAGCTTTATCTACGTGGTTATATAGAAGCAAAATGTTATGTTACCTAAACATCTAGCTAATTTAGAAGTGTTGAGAATCAGTCTTCACAGATTTTGCAGATGTAGGAATTTTGGTTTGCTTTGTTTGGGTAGAATTTTCATAACTTCTTTTTCCTCTCTCTCTCTCTCTCTCTCTCTCTCTCTCTCTCTCTCTTGCTATATTTTCCAAACTTAGCCAGGAATGGAAAGAATCTTTCTTTTTATTCCAACTTGATTGGTCTAGCCATTGATCAAGAGTTTGAAAAACAAAAACAAAACTTTTTAAATACCAGGAAGAAATTCCTGGCCTACTCTAGGACCTATGTTAAAAATTCTCTGCAGCTGGAGCTGTGGAATCCAAGAGGTCTACACCCCTACCCTACAACACTCCTTGGTTCTGTACCTGAGCTCACTCCTTTTCCTTTGGTCTATCCAGAAAGGGTTATCAATTCCCAAGGAGCCATTTGCCTGTGCATCATGACTCTGGGGGACTCAGGAAGCAAGCAGATCTGGTCAGGGGGGATTTGGCATTTCTGTATTCTCTACATGGAGCTTGGGGTATGGCTCAGTGGTAGACTGCTTACCTAGCATGTGCAAGGCCCTGGCTTCAACTCCCATCACCAAAAACAAAAATACAGAATGTATTCACAAGTTAAATTCTCTAAGCATTAATATCTTCACCTGTAATAATGTAAAGATGTTAAAGTTCCCCACATAACAATATCTTAAGTGTATATAAATAATGCATGTAATGTATCCAGGACATAGCAATCTCATGGAAATTTACTTTCATTAAAGGCAACACATAGTGCACTGTAGTCAACCCTCTAGGGTAGAAGATGGGCCTTGCCATTTTTTGCTCTATGTGCTTCCTCATCTGTAAATTGGAGATGAAAATGTACCGTAAACTCATGGAGTGTTGCAACAATTAAATGAGTTAATATATATGTGTACCCAACAGTGTATGTATCAGCAGTAAGCATAAAAGTTAAAGGGTACAACTCAGTGTTCATCCCCACAAGTGAACAGATGAACAAAATGTCATGTATTCATAGAATGAAATAATTATTGAGACGTGAACATAAAGTGGAACTCTAACACATACTACAACATAAACAAACCTTGAAAATATTATTCTAAATGAAGGAAGTCAGTCACAAAATGATAAATATTGTTTCATTCCATTCATCTGAGGTACCCAGAACAGGCAAATTCATAGAGACAAACAGTAGAATAGAAGACGCTAGGGGCTGGGAAGAGTGGGAAATGGGAAGTTGTTGCTTACTAAGTGCAGGGCTTCTGTTTGGAATGATGAAAATTTCTGGAAATAATTGGTGGTGATGGTTAGATAATAAGGGGAATGTACTCAATGTCACTGAATTACACACTTAAAATGGTTATCAGGGTAAATTTTGTTATGTATATTTGTTATGATTTGGTTGTGAGGTGTCCCCAAAAACTAATGTGTGAGACAATGCAAGAAGGTTTAGAGGAGAAATGATTGGGTATGAGAGCCATAAGCCAATCAGCAAAGTAATAATCAACTGATGGGATTAATTGAGTGGTGATTGAAGTCAGGTGGGGTGTGGCTGGAGGAGGTAGGGCATTGGGGTCATGGCTTTGGGGTATATATTCATATTTGGCAAGTGGAGATCTAACTCTTTCTGCTTTCTGATCACAAGTGAGCTGCTTCCCTCTGCCACACTCTTCTGCCATGATGCTTGACTTCACCTTGAGCCCCAAGGAATGGAGTCTGCTGTCTATGGATTCAGACCTCTGAAACTCTGAGCCTCTAAATAAACTTTTCCCCACTGCCTTTACATGCTGGGTATAAAACTCTGAAACTCCCTCAACTCGGGGTTCAGGGGATTAATTAATTACAGCAAAAGCTGTGCCCTCTGAACCTGGCTGCAACCAAATAAAACGGTTTCCTGCTAAACAAAAATAAATAAATAAATAAATAAACTTTTCCTCCTCCACAATTGTTCTGTTCAAATCTCTTAGTCACAGCAGGAAAAAAATCTGACTAAAAGTAATATTTTATCATAAGAGCAAAATTGAAACAACTACAAACAAAAACTACTGAAGACTGCAAGCTCATCTGACCCAAGTTCTTTGAAAATCATTGTCCATCTCTTGGCTTTGGGCCTTGTGCAGCAACTGCTATAAGAGAGAATGAATATGAATGAATCAATATACCAGGGCTAAGGAGATGGTGTTAAGGCTTTGGAGATGCTCATGGGCAGCACAAGGAATCCCTGATTGACAATGGTGCATCAGAAGAGCTGGGCATGCACATCCCAATGGTGGATAAGCACGGTTAGAGCAAATCTCCCAGCCCTGCTCCCACTAGGTTATGAACATCAACATGGGCAAAGGTAGAGGCCACAGGATGTCACCTGGTGGGTCAGGTGGTCTTAAAGTCCTCAGAAATTCACAAATGGTATAACAAGGGCTGGTGGCCCTAAGGAATTCAATTAAAGAGAACAATATCCAGAACTTCAGAATGTGTTTGTGAGCCTTCAGCTTCCTTCAAGTTTAAGAAAAGGAAGGCACTTGTGAAGGGAGTCAGGCACCAGGCAAAACCTCTGCAGCCTTGAAGGCTCTGAGGACAGAACTAGCCAGCCATGGCTACAACTGGGCAAGGTCAAGGGCTTGCCATGTGACATGGCACATTGTCCACTCCCATAAAAGCCAGGAAACCTTGGTTCACATAAGGGCAGAGGAGAAGGAACCCTGATTCTACCCACCACACTATAAAACCAAGCAGACACACACACTGACTGTCAGCCACTCGGTAAATGGCTACATTTATTTCACCTCTGCTCTACCTGACTTTTCTCACCCATTCTCATCTCAATTTTCCTGGGGAGTAAGCAATTCAAAATGGGTCTATGTCATCCTAACCCCATAGCTCAGCCCTATCTTGGAACTATATAGCCTTGTTCACTCACTATTCGCAACTGAAGGAAAAATTGCCTGAGTAACTGATACCTTCCTACTTCCTTCCCAGTCACCTCTCCTCTGCCCTCACCACCACCACCCCCCACACACACACTCAAGATACTAATAATTTTCTGCCCCACATATCCACCTAATGTTTCCCAGTAAGCAGGTAGCCAACAGGTTTCTCTACAAGTCATACCACATGTCATGAATTAATAGGATTTGGAATATAAGGGCTTCTGTGTGGCCCTTATATTGTGGTGGACAAGCACAGGACCACAGTCAGCCTACTAGCTCCTTTGCTGGATAGCACGATCCCCAAAGTCACTGGATGGCCATACTAAGAGCATACTAACAAATCCCACTTCTGGGCTTAAGTACAAAGGAAATGAAATCAGTGTGTCAAAGAAATATCTGCACTCTCATGTTCATTACAGCACTATCCACAACACGATGGTATAGAATCAACCTAAGTGTCTATCAATAGATGATTGGAATAAGAAGATGTGCTATATAAATACACAATGGGTTTATTCAGGTTTTTATTTTGTTTGTTTGTTTGTACTGGAGGTTGAACGCCGGGGTGCTTAACCACTGAGCCACATCCTCAACCCTTTTAATATTTTAAATATATTTTAAAGATCCTGTAGAGACAGGATCTTGCCAAGTTGCTTAGAGTCCTGCTAAGTTGCTGAGGTTGGCTTTGAACTTGTGATCCTCCTGCTCCAGCCTCCTGAGCTGCTGAGATTACAGCATGCGCATCACACCAGGCTCCATTCAGTTTTACAAATAATCTTGTCATTTGAAAAAAGCGTAAATGAGCCTTGGAGGACATTATACTAAATGAAATAAACCAGACACAGAATAACAATCACCATGTGATTTTATTTACACGTGGGATCAAAAAAGTTTATACTCAGAAGCAGAGTAGAATAATAGTTATGCTGGAGTGGAGGTGGGGGATCAGAGAGATGTTGGACAGAGGGTATAAAATTTTAGTTAGACCGGAAGGATAAGTTTAAGAAATCTATTGTACAACATGGTGACTAGAGTTGATAATCATGTATTATAGTCTTAAAAATTGCTAAGAGCAGATTTTAAGTGAAAGAGAACTTCACAGAAAAGGTGAAGTCTGAACTTCTAATAACACTATGATTCGTCTCTGTAGAACTTGGTGTATCTTTTTCTATTTTGTTGTTATATCCAGGTACAACTTTGGACCCATATGGACTTGGACCCAGTGACTTTTTTGTTCATTTATTTGCATAAACCACAATGAAGGACTTCTGGGTTTGGAGGCTGAAAGAGGAGGAAGAATCTAGCTGAGAGAGAAGATGAGAGGAGTCTAGACCAGAGAGGCTAAAGACCAAAGAGATGTTTTCATGTTAAGGGATAAAGGGAACAAAGGTTTGGAACTCTGAACCCTCATCACAGGGAAAGTCGGCACCCAGGCAGGTTCAGGCCAGCATTTTCCTACCCAGGAAGCAGAGGCAGAGCATGTGACAGTCAGGGGACATTGCTGCTCCTCCCCAAGGCCTGCTAAGAAGGGATAATCTCAGATGGCCCACAGTCACTTCTGAAAATGTTTGCAACATTCCTGGGGATGCTCAGAAACGTCTGGGATCATTGGAAGCTTCAGAATCCCAATATAAGAAAGACTTAGTACCCACAAGGGACAGAAAGGGTGAGGGTAGGAGGAAGTGAGGGGCTTAAAGTTGGATAGATTAAGAAAATCATTAAGAAAATAATGATCTATATGTGTACGTCAAAATACACTTTATTGTCATTATATCTAAAAGGAACAAATAGATTTTTTTTAATGATCCAAATAAAAAAAAAATGGGGACTGATGCTCATAGAGATGATGGGGGTGAAGGTTGGACACCCAAGCCCCTCTCTGCAAGTCTCCCTTAGCATTGGCACATCCTCAGGGGAATTTTGCAGGGAGTAGAGCTCTGTGGTTGTACAGGTGAGATCTATCAGCAGAATAGCTTGAAAAGCAATGAGACCTCATTTATCCCCATAGCTCATGGGCTTGGGAACAGTGGTGTCATCGCGCCCAGCAAAAAGTTATTACCCAGTCACGTGTCCCTCTTCATGACCGTACTCTGAGGTCCTTAAGGACTATAAATCTATTTTTGTATTGATCTTCATAATCCCAGTGGCAGATGGTCTTAACATTAGTATACTACATGAAAAGGAAGGTAAACAGGGAACTAGCACTTACTGAGCACAGGTCTGTGTCATATCACTTAATCCTGATATCAACACTTGAGGGCATCAGGAAGGGACCCCCCAGGAGTTCAGAGAAACAGATTGCTTTCTGAAAGTTGAACAGGGAAGTCAGTGGATAATGGATCACGGAAGAGCTATCTTACAGTCATTCTAAAGAGATAAACGTCTCACAGGCCTGCACAATGGCTGGAAGCTGATAACTGCCTAAATGTAGAGTTAGCAGATTTTTCTTGTGTTGTTATTCAAAAGAGTGATTAGATGGGAACATGAAGAGAAAAGCAAATGTAAAGGCAAATGCTGGCTGGGCCATTGAGGCACAACTGAGGGGAAAAGCCCAAGGATTCAGGTCCCAATTGAGTCTTAACCATTCCAATGATGATTTACCTTTCCCTGAGGTCTGCCCTTGCCCTTTTCCTTATAAGAATGATAAATTAATACCTAGATTTTATGCATCATCCTGGAACAGAGTTAGAGGGAGTCTGGCCTTCAGCAAGGCCTGCTCTCTGGGTCTGCTCAAGTCAGCTGAGGCCCAATGAGTCTTACTGTTTCAATCACAATAAGTTCATGATATGTTGATTACTCCCACCTTATGCAGGATTTTTTTTTTTCAGTGCTAGGAATCAAACCCAGGGCCTTATGCATGCCAGGCAAGCATTCTGTCACTGAGCCACATTCCCAGTTCTATGAAGGCTCTTAGAATAAAACTACCTGGTAGCCCCCAAGAGGTAACAGGGATTTGCCCCTATGTATTGCTCTCCTATTTTATAACTGAGGAAATTGAGTCCAACTGAAGAAAAAACTTATTGGGCTCAGATTAACACAGGGAACTCTTGAATTCAGATCTGCCTAATTCTAAAGCCTAAATTCTTGCTAGTGTGCCCTACTGAATAATACTCAATATTTGAAGATGCTTTACAATACTCATCATTTCCCACAGCCAGTAATTTCATTTGATCCTCACAAGAAAGCTGAATGGTGATGACACTAAACCAAAGCAGCCTTGCACTGTTTCTCTCTCCAGGTCAAAGGGGGCCCCCTGCTGCTGTGTCTAGGGTGATGGGGGCACATGAAGGTCCAATGGGATCTCAGGGCTACAGTGCAAGTTTCCTCCCTCAGTGGGGCCACTGAACTTACATGTAGACAAAGAGAGTTCCCAAAGGAGAGTTAAGAAAGAGGATAGTTAAGAATGCATGGGTTACACAAAAATTTTGAAACTTCTGCTAAGAGTACAATTTTTAAGTCACATAGGGATGAAGATTTCTTGGCCACTGGGTCAAATCTGCCTGAAGCATCTCTAAGGAGCCTTGTGACAACTCTCAGGACTATGAAAACCACATTGCCCATAGCCCTGAGGCCTTCTAGTCTATGCTAAACTTGTTCCTGTTACGAAAATAACACACTCTTCCTTCTCTATTCCAAAACTTCTAATTTTTAATTATTTTCCCTTTTGACTAGGGAGTGATGGGAAGAGATATATTAGATTTGGCATTAGGTATCACTTTTACTAGGTTCACCAATATCTGTGAGCAAAATTATTTGCTCAGATTAACACAGGGGACCTCTTGAATTCAGATCTGTGAGCAAAACTGTCGGCCATTAGCATTCATAGTCTTCAAGAAGACACTGAGATTCCTAGAGAGGAGAATTGCTTTCCAATTGTGATTAAGGCATCCCCCCCACTCCCCCACCCCGAGCCTTGAAAAGTTCTCTGGAACCATGGTGAGCACCAGCATATAGCTGCTTACCATTTGAAAGTCGGTCTCCTTCAAAATTATCCCAAGTATGGAACAAGGGAGATAGTCTCAGTTGGGGGCTACACCTAAGCCTTTCTAGAGCATCATCCTGGAAGCATCCTGGGGCTCATGCTTCCCTACCCTAGGCCCATGTTTCTACACACTCTTCCCAATGGGGGGAAAAGGCAGATTCTACATCTCAGTTTCACAAAATGGTAGGGTAACAAGCTATTTCTCTGGTTTATATATATTTTTCAAATCATCACTTCACTTAAAAATCTAATTACACGCTGGGTGTGGTGGCACAGGCCCACAATCCCAGTGGCTTGGGAGGCTGAGGCAGGAGGATCTCAAGTTCAAGGCCAGCCTCAGCAATTTAGTGAGGCCCTAAGCAACTTAGTGAGACCCTGTCTCAAAATTAAAAATACTAAGGGCTGAAGATGTGGCTCAGTGGTTGAACACCCCTGGGTTCAATCCTTCGTAACTCTTCTCAATTCCAATCACATTATAATTTATTCCTGCTAAGTGAAATCCAGTAGCTGTTGGTTGCTTTGTGGTGTGAATTGATCAATACTAACAATGGGTGGTATGGAGCACTTACTGTATTTATTGTCTACTCTGCCCTATTCCCCAAAGGTTTCTTTTTAGACAGATAATATCTCTTAATTAAGGTTCTTTCAAAAAGTCCATTCGCATTATATTGAAACTGAAGAAAATAACACACTCTTCACTCAATAGTTGGCTGACTGTATAGACTGCAACAGAAAGGAAAAGACTGCAAAGCTGCTTTGTGCATCAAGTAGCAACGACATACTTTTTCTGTCTCCTTGTTGAGCTAGAAGCCAGACTTCTCATATATTATTGATTTACATGACATTTGGCTTCAGATTCAATAGAATAATATGTTCAAATGCTTAAAGTATGAAAACAAAGATCTTACACCTCAGATGCTCACTACAGAGTAGTAGTCAAAACATCTTGTAAAAATGCTTCCCAAATAAGCTTATATAAATCATGAAACCATAACATTATTTAATTCCTTATAGAAAATACCCTTGATTCATTCTATTTCTATAGTCTTTGGAATTCTAATATTCTTAATAATTCAAGTCTTTATTATTTATTCATGGTCTTTCATCTACAAGCCATCCAATGGGGAAAATGTTGTCATGCAAAGTCATTAAGTAATTTAATTTTAATCATCCAGTACATGATACTTTATCTTCTGAGCTTAGATTACTCTTTAGCTGAATTATAATGCCATTAATACCACAATTTCTTAAAGCATTAGCCACTATATAGTCACTACTGAGCTCTATGCTGCTCCCCTGTTTCTATACAATTTTATGTTGAAATAAAAATTTCCCTTCAAAGCAAAAGAAGTTTCACCTATGTCTGTTATGTGAATTTTGAAAAATGGAAAAAAAATCAAGCTATGCATTTCTTGCCAGGGTCCCTTCATAATAGAGAACATGAATGTGGGCAGGGGCTATTAACTCATTAAACACAGCAAACACACTTCCAACTGTTGTCACTGGGGACACCAACATGCGTTACCATTTCATTGTTACTTTTCCAATTCCTTTATAGAAATCTGTTTAGTGGAGCAAAATCCCCATAATCCAGATAATTTGTCTTAAAGCCAAACACATCCAAAAGGTAACCCTGTGTTAAAAGTAATCACTCTCCCCAACATGATTACGTATATGCAATTTGGAAAAAAAAAATTTTTTTAGCTCTAGTATGTATACAAACAGTCCTGAAGATGAGGCAATTTGGAATTGTTACAAATAACCCACTGTACCTGTTCCTATGACTCCAATTCTGTTCTCCAACAGGAACAACTTGCTGTTTTCAACTAGTCTGAAAGTAGGCGTGCAGAGAAATAAAAGAAGGCAACCACGAAAAGAGCTGTTCCATACCTGTTCTACTGTTCAGAGCAAACAGCTGCTCCTTTCCATCATTCCCAAGCAGGAGTCCAGTAGGAGAGTGGAGTCAGGTTACTTTTCGGCAGCTACTCTATCAGCCAATTGGTTATCCCTCTGGAAACCATAACAAAGAGAGAATAAAACATGCATGACGGTACAGTTTGGTATTACAAGGCATCTAGAGATACCAAAATATATACTACACCCACTCTTCATTCTTTGTCAGCCAGTGCCTGACTCCTTAAAAGGACTTTCCATTAGGAAAACAAGCTAATCTCTTGACCTATAGAGTTAGGTCTTTGAAATTTTCTTTACTTATTTATTCATTGATTTATTCGGTTTTGATCTAAGGCCCTGTCAGTTGATTTATAATTGCTGGAAAGACCATGCAACATTCAGAAGGGGGGACATGTAAATTGCTATCTGTATAAATCCAAGTATTTTCATATCAGTACATTGTACCCTAATCTTCTTCAGAAGGCATGGAGTCACAGTAATTGAATCCCTTGTTAAAATGATGGCCAAACTGTCTTGTAAAAAGTCATATGAGAAAACAGTTCCTATGATTTCAAGTAAGATCTTACTGACTGAAAGTCTTAAATAAGACGGATGCTACTTCTGAATGTGGCTCCTGAGTCTGTAGGTGGAGTTCATGTATGGCTTAGTAGACAGATAGCAAGGCCTAAGGCTGTTTTATGTGAACACTGCACAACACTTTCGCCTCTAGAGGGCATTGGTTTTTCAGATACCAAGGGATATAGGAACTCTTCTTGAAAATCCTGATTTCTAGCAGTGTAGGAAGCAGTCCATCCTCAGAAATGAGGAGGGGTAGACTAATGAGACTTAAATACTCAAGTTCTGACATCAATTCAGCTTAAGGACTGTGTATTTTAATGAAATGAAAATAGTTGCTGTATTGATAAAGTGAGATTACAGTTTTTATTAAAATTACAATTTATGAGCCAGGCAAGGTGGCACATGACTATAATCCCAGCTTCTCAAGAGGCCAAGGCAGGAGTTTCTCAAGTTTGAGACCAGCCTCAATGACTTAGAGAGAACCTATCTCAAAGTAAAATTAATATATATATTTATATATATATATGGCTGGAGATGTAGCTCAGTGCCTGCCTAGCACATATAAGGCCCTGGGTTCAATCCCCAGTACCAGAAAAAAGTATTACAATTTGTATTTTTCAAATTCAGTTTAATATCATATACTTTAAAAAATTTATTAATTTTGTACAATTAATTCACTCTCCTTAAACCACTGATTTTTAAAAGTATTGCATAAACAATTAGCTTTTTAAAAATTAAGTATTGCAAAACTCTTGAGTAAAGTGAAACTATAGCTATTGCAAAGAGAAATCACAGTTTCTAATTCACCTGTTCATTCAACAATTAATCATCTATTGGAGCCAGACACTGGACTGAACTCTAGATATATACTGATAAACAAACACAAACACAGATGCTGAGTTAACAGCCTTCCAACAGAGACAGAGAGTAATCAGTCACTCAAGGAAGTATAAAAGTAAACTTTGGAGTGAAACTACAAAATATATGTATCGTGAACAGAGGAAGATCAGACAAAGCTTCTCAGAACAAAAACAACCAAGATCTCAATATAGCTAGAGGAACAGGTTGATGATAGAAGGAAATATATTCCAGGCAGATACAAGAGAACATTGAAAGCCCCTGGTGCTTAGGCGAGAAATAAAAGGGACACTGACATATGCTGTTATACATGGGAGGTTATTATGTACCCATACATAGATGGTTTTTAATACACCATCAAACAATACAGCAGATATCAGTAGAATTATATTCCATTTAGCCAGGTGAGATGTTTTAGAAGGTGTGAATTTCAAATGATGTTAGTAAAAGCAAGTGATTCAAGGAAAGCCCATAAACCACTCCTTGATATCATATGCACTACATGTAAAAGTGTTGTGAGATGATCCATTCACATTTTGAAAAGGAGGACTCAAAAGATCTTCCATGATTGAACTAAAGGGGCCCTTCTCTGAGGTGGAAAATTGGCATGAGAACCATAGCGGTGGTGAGAGGGAATTAAATGCTAAACTTCCTTTTTTGTTTCATTGATGGGCTCTTGACTGTTCCCTTAGGGACACTTAAGGACTTTTATATACTTCTGTCAATTGTCACACATGGTTAGGGTATTGTAAGAAATGACTAGTACGTTAGCACAGAATCTGAAATGGTACCAGATGAATTATTTGAATATTCAACACAAACAAACATACAAGAGCGTTAGGGTACAGAGTTTTGAATTTACATTTCATACCTCAACAAGCTCAAATACCACTCATTTTGAAGATGGGATGTGCCATGATACATAGCTCCAGCAAATAAATCCTAATTCAAAGACTGTCCAACATAATGAATAAAGGCATTTTTTTTGTTACCGATGTTATAATTTTGATTACCTCTTACATCTACGCCTCCTATATTAATACTATTATTAAATGAAACTCATACTATCACTTTATAAATTTCAAAGGAATATATAAATTGATCAAGATTCATTGTGTTAAGTGAATTTAGAAAAGAAAAATACAGATGAATGCTTTATGTAAATTGAAAAAGCTGTTATTTATCACTCTAGCAGTATCTTAGATATAACCGTAGAATAACTCTGGTGATTTTTCTGTAAAATTTAGAGCTTATGTATTTCAGGAGAACAAATCAGTTAATTCCTACTAAGTTTTATGATTTTTCCAAAGTTAAAAATAATGTCTCTTTTAAGGAGAAGTTACAAAGCAGATGAAGTTTTTAAAATTTGTTTTTATTGGTGCATTATTATTATACATGACAGTGGGGTTCATTATGCCACATTCATAGATGCAAGTGACATAACAATCTCATTCTCCAGTACCTTCTCTTTCTTCCCCCCTCCTCCCTCCCCCCATTTTCTTGCTCTACCAATCTCCTTTCTATTATTATTTTTCCACTAGTGCTTTATAATTATAAATGGGATTCATTGTGGTCTATTTGTACGGACATAGGATAATTTGGTCAGTTTAATTTCCTAGTACTTCCCATGCCCTCTCTTCCTCTCTCTGTCTTGAACCCTTCCCTTCTTTATTAGTCTTCTATTTTCATGAGACGGGGATGAAATTTTAACATACTCACGTCTATAAATACATAGAAAGAATAGAACCATAGAGGAATAAGTGGAAAAAAGTAGACTGGAAGTCTCTATAATCATTTAGAAAGATGATAAAAATTTTGATGTGTGAAGCCCACCCAGATTGGGGTTAGGCTTAGGCATTTTTTTTTAAAGACTCCTTGGGAGGTTTTAAAGGGCTTCCTGGGTTGAGAGCTGCTGTTCAACCCACAGCAGAGAGATCTGATGCAGAGAGTTCTTCAGTTAAGTAATGTGGAAACACCTGCTGACCATGCATCTCTCTGGAGGAATTTTGCATTCCTGGGTTTCCTAAGAAAACACTTACTGAAGATAATGGCGTCTGTGTGATTAGACACAAAATAAAATTTGTTTTTACATAGTTTAACTCAAGGAGCAGTATCCAAAAACAATATTCCTGTCTCAGGTTTTCAACAAATCCTGTGCCTAACTGTAATAAAATACATTTTTTATCTTAAAATGCACTTTTTGTCTGCCAGACCTTTTATCAAATGTCTACTATGATGTGCCAAGCATTATAATAGGAATGTTTATATGCAGATTGTTTTCTAGGGCACTTGTTAAGAAGTTACTCTCTCCTTGCCTCTCTAAATCAGAACTAAAGTACCCTGCTTCAAGGATTTGAATATGTGATCTGGGTAGATTTCATCCCAACTCTATAATACATCAATGGTTTGAATGAATTATACAACAAATGGAAAGTGTTCCGCTATTATCATGTACTGCAAGGCACTGTATTGGGCGTTGTGGAGGATCCAGAGGAGGTGGTAACGATGACAGTCATGGTGATGGTGGTGATAATGGCGATGAAGATGACAGTAACTATCACTTTAACTAGATTATTTCATTGAAGCCCTATACAAAAGTATAAAGTGGTAAGATGAATCAATTTCTTTTTCTTTAAACCCCAAGTTGTCTCAAAATGATATTACAATGTTATTGACTTCATAATACTATTGACAAAGACTCTCCCGTGATGGAAGATTGGTCAGATTTTCCTTTAGACTTCATTCCCCTCTTTTCTCTCTGTATCTGGCCTGTGCTACCCAGTTGTAGCAAGAGCTGTGTAGAGAGAATCTCCCTCCTACCTCAATCTCTGACAGCCCTCAGTATCTCATCCATTTCCTCATCTCCCACCCTTGGTATCCAATTACCCTGACCTGCCTTGAACAAGCAAAAATTTTATAAGGTTCATTTAACCAGAATCTTCCCTATCCCTGGTGTTTATGTTTAGTAAATTTCCATCTACTCACCTTAGTTCTGTTTGGGGGCTATAAATCTCGACTGGTTCAAACTGGTTCATACTGGATTCAGAATGGATTCCAGTGCTATGCTGGAGTTCTCTTTTCTCCTATTGCAATAGTTCCTGAATAAAACCTACTTATTCTACTAAAATGGATGCTTTTGTATCCTCCTTTATAAAGGAGGAATATAAAATGGGAGAGATTAAAGGAAACACCAGGGTTGCCAGCCAGTGAACAATGAACTCAGACTTTGAAACCAAGATGGCTGATTCTGTACCTAAAACTCATTTCAGAGTTGTGCTTCAAGAGCTTATAATTCCAAGGGATTTCTCCCTGCTGTATTTCCTTGCTTGTCAATCTGTGACTGAGATAGGTGGTATATGTTAAAGCTCTAAATTGGAGTACTATCTTTAAAGAAGGAATGACCAATAAATGTGTCCTCTAACGAGGTCCAATTTGCAGCTCTAGTGTCAAGGACAATATCCATTTGGTTAAGTAAAGCTCTGAGAGATGTGTTACTGAAAAAAGTTGACTGAGTCTTATCCCCTGCTAGGAAACATACTATGTATTTTACATGTGTGAAATTTAAACACCTTGTTACTTAAGGTCAACAACTGCTGTAATAAACCAAGGAGACTTCAGATCCAACAGATGTGTTTGACAAAATGTCTGTAAACAGAACCTTGATCTGTGATTTTGCCAAT